GTAATGAGGCGGCCTCCCCCAAGAGCGCTGAGATGTTGTTCCTCAGTGGAGAAAAACAGATCCCAAGACAGAGAAGGCATTCCAGCCACAGAAGAAGCTGTCCCCCCAAATGGTGTGTGTTCCCCCCTTTCTCTCAATAATGCACGATGCCCTGAATGTCTCAGAGAAGAAGCTGTTCCCCCAAATGGTGTGTGTTCCCCCCTTTATCTCACTAATGCACGAAGCCCTGAATGTCTCAAACAACTGGCAATTTTGTGAGGGCCTTAACCATGGCTGCCAAAGATGTTGTTTTTCTTCCCAACGGTTCTGGGCCACCTCTGGGATATCCTCAAATGGAAGCCTGTGCTAACGTCTCCTTGGAAGCAGCCTGGCTTGGTCCGCTGCTACAGGCCATGGGGCTCCAAGGCTGCCTGGTCAAGGAAAGGCCAGACAGGTGAAAATCTCTCCAGAGAAGAGAAAATTCTCCATGGGATTTCTCCCTGGAATCCATCTGGAATTTTCTCCACCTGTCTAAAGTGGGTGCACAGAATTTCATCTCTATGGGCTCTACCTCAATGGCTCAAGTCTGTCCCTTTGAGCTACCTCCTTCATGGTTTGATCTTCCTCTTCCTCTTTTTCCTCCTCTTCCTCTTCCTCTCCAGGTTCCAGTCTCAGTATGTTCCCTTGACTGCGGTCCAGGTGAGGAGAAGATACAACAGGGGACCCAACGGTGCTGTTTCCACTGCCTGCCTTGTTCATCGGGGACCTTCCTGAACAAAAGCAGTGAGTGCCTGAAAAGCCACACACCTCCTGGCCAGTTAAGAGGAAGCTGCCGCTGTTATCATGCCCCATTCTCTCACTTCAAATCCGACTGACTCTAATAATTTCACCAGCTGTCCCAGTATCTAATTGTTTGCAGGAGAGGGTTGTTGGTGGTTTGGTTTCTTCTCCTTTGACAGTCATGCTTAGAGTGTTGAATAAGGACTGAAGACAAAATCAGTGCAGAGTTTCAAAATCTGCGAACATTTTTGTTATTCTTGAGGAAGTATTAATGTTTTGGCTGGGAGCTCCATGGACGTATTCTAGGCTCAACTTGGAATTCAGGTTCAGATGGGCTGTGCGTCCAAAAACTAGCAATCAAGGTCTGCTTTGTTAAATTAAGGTTTAAAAACATACTAAGGAATGGACAGATTTGGTCATTCACTTGGATGAAGTGTGCGGAAAGGGAGTCCCTTTAAGAAAAATGGTGTGTTCCTGTGTGTTAAAACATCTGCACCTGCACCACAAATGTCTAGGGCAGGTTGTTGTTTTTGCCTGTTTTCCTTGAGGCTCCAGAAGTTCTGCCAATCAAGAAATCAGTTGCTTTTCGCTAAACTTTGGCTGATGTTGCACGCAACTCCTGCATCATTTAGAGGCCCTTGCTAGTTCCCTGGCAAAAGGCTCTGAGAAGCAGTGAGATTTGTAAACCCTCCCAAATCTCCCTTATGGATTCTGAAACTGGTGGTTTTCAGGTTAGGAATTGCGGTCACACCTGCATCCTCTGGAATGAAAGACTGGCCGAGTGGTGCATGACCAGAAACGGGATCTTGTTGCAGAGAGAGCAAGATGGAAATGTCCTTGGATCAGGGTGGGTTCAGCTCACCCCAGTCTTCCACAGAGCAAGGTTCTTCTTACCAGCAGCTTCCAGCTTCTAGTAAAGGTCCAATGTTCTGGTTAAATAAAACCTGCTGGTCAGCTGTAGAGGTGACTGGACAAATCAATCAGTAGGTGTTTAGGAACAGAACCTGGTTTTAATGGTCCTGGAGTGCCGTCTATTTTCTGTTTGCTCCTCCTTCTGTTTGTGGTCCTCAATCTGGTTGCCTCTGAACCAGGATAGTCCATGAGTTATGTTGGGCCAGCCATTCTCTCCACCTGGTGGCCCAAAACCATAACAATCCTGCGAGGGTAAAGTGGTGATAATGTGGGGAAAAGGAGGCAGGACCTTCGCTCCCAATGATTACTGCTCTCACCTCCCACAGGTTTCTCCACTTGCCAGAAGTGCAAGGAAGATCAGTGGTCCCCTGCCGGAAGCGAGGCCTGTTTTGATCGCTCCGTCGAGTTCCTGGCATGGGACGAACGGGTCTCCTTGGTCCTTCTGACCTGCATTAGCCTGGGGCTTCTGCTGATGGTCGGGACCGGGGCCCTCTTTATATGGCACCTGCAGACACCGGTTGTGAAGTCAGCTGGCGGCTGGCTGGCGGTAGTGATGCTCTGCTCTCTGGCCTGCGCCAGCTTCAGCCTCTACGCCTCCTTTGGGGTTCCCAGCAAACTCAGCTGTCTCTCGAGGACTCCTTTGTTTAACGTCAGCTTTGCCATTTGCCTTTCCTGTATGGCAGCTCGATCTTTCCAAATCGTCATCATCTTCAAGATGGCCACCAAGACCCCGGGCCTGTTGGAGGCCTGGAGGAGGCACCATGGGTCAAGTGTCTTGATAGGAAGTCTCACAGCTGTGCAGGGGGTGATAACCTTGATGCACCTGAGCATCCGAACGCCCGTTCCGCAGAAGAACTATGATGCCTATGACAATGTGACTGTCCTAGAGTGTAGTGTAGGTGACTCCACACTCTGTCTAAGCGGGTTGCTCTATAACACTCTCTTGGGGATTTCTTGCTTCGTGATCAGTTACATGGGGAAAGACCTTCCTAGCAGCTACAATGAGGCCAAATGCATCACTTTCAGCCTCCTCATCTACTTTGCCTCTCTTGTGACTTATTCTGTCACACGCAGCATTGACACAGGACAGAAACTCTTGACCATGTATGTAGTCTCCCACTTCACCTCCCTGTGCGGCATCTTTGGGAATTACTTTGTCCCCAAGGTCTACATCATCCTTTTTCACTCTGAACGGAACACTAGCGAACACTTCCAGATGTCCATCCAGAGTTACACCAAACGGATCAATGCAGCAGGCTGAGTGGCAGGAGGCTGCTTTGTGTTGGAGTGGCAGGGTCTGTTTGGCTGAGTGGTGGAGGTTGGGAGTTAGGCCAGATCCACCAGGTGAAAAGGGGAATGTATGGTGCTGAGGAAGAAAATTCCTACAGTTTCATGATTGATAAGGAAAGAAAATCCCCCTTTTCAGGAGAAATTGGGAAATGCTCTCTGACAGCCCACCACTACCAAGTATACAAGCTTCATCTTGTTGTTGTTATTTATATTCTCCTCCTTCTTCTGGTTCAGAGTGCATGACGTTCCAGTGCCATTGCAGAACAGCTTTGTCATGTCAAGAAGGTCTAGGTATTGTGGGGGATGATGACTTTTCCCTTGCATCCAAGTTGCTAGTGTTAGGCTTCCATTCAGGCCTTTAGTGCCCATTCTCAGGCTGAGTCTGTTAGAATATGACTTAGCTTTACAGCTCTGCTTCTCTTCTTCTGATCTCTGCTTTGACTTGGCAGATGATTGTCTTGGAATGGTATGTATTTATCTCTGCTGTACCAGCCAAAGCCATTAATTTTAAATACCCAGTCTTGGGAAACTAGGAGGTATCACTTTGTTCATTAGTGAAGTGCTTTGAATACATCTGTGTCGTCATTTCTGCCAGTTAGTAAGATATGTTATTAGGATTCTTCTTCATTTTAACTCTTAAAGTATAACCACATGTTTAAAACTTTAGAAAATGTATGTACTAAAACAGCCAGTGTAATTTCCCTATGCTTATCCCTTATAGTACTACTAAGCCAAATGTATTATGGGTAACAGCCATTATCTACAAAGCTGAAGGCACACAGGCATTTTTGTATCTCTATTGCTAACAAGGTCTTATAGAACAGTTGACACAAGCATTCCACTCTTTGGATCAAGAGGGCAAAGACATTCCACCAGAGAAAGTACAGTACCAGGTAAATTGTATCTTTCATGTTGGGCAGACAAGCCAGATGCCACAGAAATGTTTCAGCTTAGGTACGTCCAGTAAGAAAAGATGACTACAAGGAAACTAGCTTGTTGTATTTGTTTATGACATTTTGTACAATTTTATATAAAAGCTATCCTACATGTTCTGGAATTTGGCGTTCTCTCCTGGCATTGTAGGGCATATATGTATTGATTTCTCTGCTAGTTTTAATAAACAGTTTCCTAATACCTTTCATCTTAATGTGTGTCCAGGCAAATTTTTAAGAGAACGTTCTTGATATTCTTGTTATAGTACCAATTCATAAATTACTCTTCTGTCATCTTTAATGAAGAAATGTTTTATTTCTTTTGCTGTCCAAAGTTTATCTGTTAATTATTCCTATAATGAATGCTATCTGCCATATTTCGCTATACCAAATCATAGCTGAAACCCATCAGAGATCCCTCCAGAATTTAGGAATAATTATTCTGGCAGCCACTAAAGATTTGCATTGTAGATGTGCATCATAAAATAATACTAAATCTGAAGATTTGATTATGGATTGCCCAGGAATCATTCTTATTTGGTAAAAAAGGTATCCCCAAACGGCTTGACTTTGTTACAGAAACACCATAAATGCTCTGCAACTCGTCCAATAGAGTGTTGAAACAGAGGAATGTATATATGATAACTTCAGTGGTTGAGTTTTCAAGAGCTGAGCAGGGCAGTTGAGGGCAGGACATTTTGAAGATTGCTCTTTCACAGGGTCACCCTAAGTAAGAAGAAAGTTGATGGCATGTAACAGCAACAAACTTCATTTTTGGCACATGATACTCATGTGCTTTATCTGCTGTGCACTTTTTGTAAAGATCCTACACCACCTTGTCCATATTGGTGTTGAAGAGGTCCTATATACAGATGCTTGAATCTTCTGGGATGTTACAGGATCTCAGCCAGGCATGCCTCCTCAAAGCTATTCTGGCAGGCATAGTTCTCGCAGAACAGTCTGCAGCATGACTAAAGGAGTGGATTTGAAGGGTGTCTCCAAGTGAGTGGATGTAAGTGAGAGAGAAAGAGATAAGGAAGAAATGCTGTGAATGATGAGAGGACATTGTTTCCTTCTCAAAGTCCATAGGAAGCCCAGGAGAAACACAGATCAAACCATGTGGGCGCCCTTGATGAAAAGGAGAAGAAAATTAAACCCCACAATTTGCTTAGTTTTCTTCCCACATCCTATGACCTCTCTTCTCCTGAAAGATCACCGATGTCATTTGCTCTGCCACAGCAAACAAACTCCAGGTGGGAAGGTTCATGGAAATGATCCCGGATGGTTCAGAGATGCTAACCGCAGGGCTGTCCATCTGCTGGGAGCCCTTCCTTGTTCTTTCCTACAAAAACAGGGCATCTTGGTGGCTGTGTCAGTGCCTCCTCCAACCACCCGGATGGCTCCTTCTTCGCTCCTCTTCCTACACCTGCCCCTTTGGGCTCTGTGGGGCGGCAGCAGCCAGGGGCTTTCAACCCCCTTGACCCTGGAAGGAGATTATATGATTGCAGGACTATTTCCCATTCACCGCAAGAACATCATCCGAAGCCAGAAATCCAAGCCAGAGGTGGATGTTTGTAAGAGGTAAGTGAGAAGGTAAGTTGGCACATATTCAGGGCACAGGGCTTCAAATCCCCACCTAGCCATGACACTTGCCGGATGACTTTGGGCTGCCACACCATTTTGGCCACAACAACCTACAAGGAGCTTCTGAAAACAGGATAAACTGGGGGAGAGGAGAGTCTTGAGCATCCCCTTTACCTCTATGCAGGAAGGAACTGGAGCACGGGGAATAAATATGTGACACTGTGGGGTGACAAAGCACTTTCTTCAGTCCTTTATCTACTTGCCACTCAGTTGCTCCACCAATGAGCACTGTTGAGTCTTCACCATGCACATAGCTGAGCAATTTCCTGCCTGAGAACTGTGAGGATTAAACATACGCACTGGAACAAGTAAAAGGCATTGGAGGTGGGCAAAGGGGTCTGATGGCCAGGGACCACATGATGCCCGCAGCTACACCCCCTGCTCAGCATCAGTCTTAGAAACACCAGCCTCTGATGGCGTCAATCTCCTTCTCCTCTGTGCAGCCCATACGACAACAGAAATGTCCATGGCTATCACCTCGTCCAGGCCATGCGGTTCGCTGTGGAGGAGATCAACAACTCCAGCTGCCTCCTGCCCAACCTCACTCTGGGCTATGAAATCTACGACAGCTGCACCTCCTCGACCAACATGTACGCCACGCTGAGCCTGCTGTCCAAGGACCGAGAAGGCTGCATCGGTCATCAGCAGGTGGAAGTAGACGCCAACTACGCTCAGTACCTGCCTAAGGCAGTGGCCGCCGTTGGGCCAGATTCCAGCGATGAGGCTGTCTTGACAGCCAGTCTGCTAGGCATCTTCCGTATCCCAGTGGTAAGCCAGCAAACAGCCAGGGGTTTCTGAAGGATGGGCAACCTTCAGCTGAAACTCCCTTGAGCGTTGAGTAGTAGAACTTTAGGGATGGAAGGGAATCCCAGGGCTTGTCCATTCCCTTGCTAGTACCGGTTCTTTTAACATTTTGTGTGAAGACCTAGAACTTCTTTTGTACCTCTTTGGGTGCCTCTTTCCTCCTTCCTTCTTCCAGGTCAGCTATGAAGCCAGCAGCCCAGTACTCAGCCTCAAATACCTCTACCCTTCCTTCCTGCGCACCATCCCCCCTGATTATATGCAGGTTTGTGCCTTGATACACCTGTTGGAAGCCTTCAACTGGACATGGGTGGCCGTGGTGGCCAGCAACAACAACTATGGCATACAGGGCTTGCAGAAGCTTCATGAAAGGAGTGCCAGGGTGGGCATCTGCATTGCCTATCAAGGGATCCTTCCTGCCGAACCCGATGCCAACCGTTCTGAACTCAGCACGATTGTGCACAATTTGGTGAGTGCCGGTGCCAGTGTGACCATTGTCTATGCCAACAGGCAGAGCATCGGATCTTTCTTCCAGGAGGTGATTCGGCTGAATGTGACTGGAAAGGTATGGCTGGGCACAGAGGACTGGTCACTGGCCTCAGATATCTCGATGATCCATGGAATCCGTGACATCGGCACAGTCATTGGTGTGGCACTCAAGGAAGCCCACCAGTTGGGAATGAAGGCATTTGAAGCAGCTCTTGTCGGGTGTAAGGAAGCCACGGGTGGGCTGAATGATATTGGCAGCGCCAGGAGCTCCTGCCAGCATTGTAGGGAAGCATGCAGCCAGCTCTGTACCCAGTTTTGCAGGCCAGATGAATGGGAGCCATCGCACAGTGGATTGGAGATATCACCCCGTGATTCTCGGGCAATTTTCAATGTCTACTCTGCTGTTTATACTGTCGCCCATGGCCTGCATCGCCTGCTGGACTGCCAAACAGGGGAATGCCGCAAAGACACAATCTATCCTTGGCAGGTTGGTCCCTCTCTTCCTCTCTCTTGGAATCAGGCATGGAGAACCCTCGCATGGTATACCCTTCCCCCATCAACCCAACCCCTATCCCTTCCCCTAATGAGATACTTTACAGGTTCATCCCTGCATTGCTTTCTGTTGTCGACTGATGGCTGTACTAACTGAGAAACACTTTGAAATCTATTGAAAGCATTTGTTGTTCTGTCCCATATGGTTCATGTTCAATCAAGGCTTCTACAAATGCTAGTTAGTTAAGTTATGTGCTGTCAAGTTGGAACCAACCTACCAAAACTCTAATAGAGTTTCAAGGTAAGTAAGATATTTAAGGGGCGGTTTTACGAGTTTCACTTCCCTAGCGATTTTCCATGGCAAACTGGAGATTCGAGTCCTAGTCCATCGCTCTATCCACTATACCACACTGGGTGTAACAAAGGTATCACTAAGAAATCCAGTTAGAAAACATATTGGGGAAAAAAACACATTCATTATATTTATCCTAAGTAAATAAATATGACATAGGGTTGAAGGGCAAAGTTGCAGAATTTGGGTGGATTTAGACTGTATAAAAATAGAAATGGTCATGAGGAAAATCCTGGTAAATGGACCAGAAGCCACTTCACATCTAAGCAGGCGATACAGCAACCTAGACCTAGGGGAGGAGAAGAGAGGAGCATTTTGGCAGCCGAGCAGGTAGCAAAGTATGCACACCCGCTGCAGTGCTGCTGTTCCTGCTAAGGCTTCACCGTACGTGGTTGTGGATTAACTAATGATATACATGACTTTTATCAACCTTTATGCTTCTGCAATAGAAAGGTTCAGGAGTCATGACATTGGTGCTGCTCTCATCCCTTGTTCCAAATTGCATAATGGTTCCAAGTGCATGAGTGGTTGAGATAGCAGCAATCTTGCATGCACTATTAGTGAGAGGGGTGTTTTACAGTCTAATGTGACTGTCCTTTGCCACTAGTTTAGTTTTAAAAAGTTATATTTTCCATCACAGGCATTTGAGGCAAACCTCTGTCCCCTCTTCTTGTTTGGTTTTGCTTCCATTGTTTTGTTGACAGCCTCTTGCCTTTGTCTGACTATAAGCAACAAGCATGCAGAGTCCTTTCCCCCTTTTTCTTCTGACTGTAACTTCAGATGGTAACTATAAGTACATGTACCTTTTTCTACCTTTAATGCTTCTAGGGTAATGAGTGAGTTTTTGTACAAGAGAGGGTGTTGTTTGAGGAGACTGGACTGATCTTTCCATACTTTTGTGCTATTGTGATTTTCCATGCAATAGGTGCTGAGCACTGAAGCAGAAGTGATTCTGGAAATGGAGGTGCACATTCTGATAATTGGCAATGCCAACTGCTCTCCAGAAGGGAGAGCCCAAAAATGCAGGCTACTGGATTGTTTGGTATCAACCAATGAGGAGTGGGTCTCTTTTAACGTTAATGGCTCTTACGTGATCATTCAGGATGAAACCACTTTCAATTAAGGCCCTCACCTTAAAGGACAATGATTCCAAGGGGGATTCAGTCGGTCCCTTGAGGGGTCATGCAAGTCCTCTTGGCCCAGGCCCTTCCTTGGTCTCAAGACTGTCCTCACTCTTTTTTCTGCAGCTCCTGAAGGAAATGAGGCAGGCGAACTTCAGCCTCTTCCACAGGCAGGTCCGCTTTGACACCAACGGGGACATTTTGGACGGCTACGAATTGGTCTTATGGAACTGGGCTGGGCAGACCTGGAACTACAGCGTGATCGGCTCCTATGACAACTCAGGTGGTTTGAGCATTGACAAGGAGAAGCTGCTGTGGCACACCAAAGACAACCAGGTAATGAGGCAGCCTCCTCCAAGAGCGCTGAGATGTTGTTCCTCAGTGGAGAAAAACAGATCCCAAGACAGAGAAGGCATTCCAGCCACAGAAGAAGCTGTTCCCCCAAATGGTGTGTGACCTTCTTGTTCTTCCTCCTCCTCTTCCTCCTCCTCTTCCTCTCCAGCTTCCAGTCTCAGTGTGTTCCCTTGACTGCGGTCCAGGTGAGGAGAAGATACAACAGGGGACCCAACGGTGCTGTTTCCACTGCCTGCCTTGTTCATCGGGGACCTTCCTGAACAAAAGCAGTGAGTGCTGGAAAGGCAAAGCTGCCGCTTTTATCATGCCTCTCTCTCTGTCCTCAACTCTGATAATTTCACCAGCTCTCTCAGTGTTTAGTTGTTTGCATGGGAGGGTGTTTTGTGGTTTTGTGCCTTGTCCATGAGAGAGGCATTTAGAGTGTTGGAAAGGAAAACTTTGGTCCAGAAGTTCCAAATCTGGGACAATTTTTGTTATCCTTGAAGAGGACATGATGTACTGGACTCATTCTAAGCTCATTTTGGCATGCAGGTTCAGATAAGGTGTAGGTCTCACAACTAGCAATAAATGTCATCAGGGTAGAAATTGTGCATCTTCTTGGAGGAAGGCCTGGGCAAGTGGTGCATGACCAGAAACAGGATGTTGTTGCACAAAGAACAACATGAAAATGTCCTGGAATCAGGGTGGGTCAGCTCATCCCAGTTTTCCAATTGATGGCACAGAGCAAAGTACCACTCTTACCAGCAGCTTCCAACTTCTAGTAAAGTTCCAATGTCCTGGTTCAATAAAACCTGCTGGTCAGCTGTAAAGGTGACTGGACAAATCAATCAGTAGGTGTTTAGGAACAGAACCTGGTTTTAATGGTCCTGGAGTGCCGTCTATTTTCTGTTTGCTCCTCCTTCTGTTTGTGTGGTCCTCAATCTGGTTGCCTATGAAACAGGATAGTCCATGAGTTCCGCTGGGCCAGCCATTCTTTCCACCTGGTGGCCCAACCTCAGAAAATTCCTGCGAGGATAAAGTGGGGATAATGTGGGAAAAAGGAGGCAGGACGCTCCCAGTGATTACTGCTCTCACCTCCTACAGGTTTCTCCACTTGCCAGAAGTGCAAGGAAGACCAGTGGTCCCCCGCCGGAAGCGAGGCTTGTTTTGATCGCTCCGTCGAGTTCCTGGCATGGGACGAACGGGTCTCCTTGGTCCTTCTGACCTGCATTAGCCTGGGGCTGCTGCTGATGGTCGGGACTGGAGCCCTCTTTATATGGCACCTGCAGACACCGGTTGTGAAGTCAGCTGGCGGCTGGCTGGC